CGGTGAGATGTGAAAATCTATCTTAATGTCTCCCCCCATTCCAGCTCCCTCAATTCACTGATCAAAGTCTTTTTAGCTTTGCTGTTGCAATGCCTCCTATGGCTTCTAGTAGCTCCTTCAGAGTACTACACTTAAGTTGAGCATATATGATCTCCATCCGTCGTTTCTCCAGGAGACTTCCGACAGATGTGGTGGATCGCCAGTATATCGCCACCAGGACTCCCTTTCCAAGTGTGAAATAGGTCTACTAAGTAGTGAAAGTGATTATAGCTGGTATAGCTTTCTTCCCACACATTAGTCAATACTGAATGCTGGGAGTAAATCTGTTTATTTCAGGCAAGCACTCTCAATTTATACACAGACCCCCAGCAGGGGGTCTCCATACAGGAATATAGGAAACTCCTCCCTGGTGTCCCTGTCTCTGAGAGATAATTTAGTCAGGAAACTATAACTCAATTATCTCTCAGCTACAGGAAAACATAAAAAATATCATACAACACCTCAAAAGTACCCCTAAAATACATGGAAACCCTACAAAAATCACATTCATGGATAGCCCTGATCTGAGCGCCCAAGTTGGCCAAAAAGCGCTTAGACACCTTTGGTTGTATAGATTCGCCAACACGGGGTAAGTTTTGTCTGGCTGGCCACCTGGTAGAAGCCAAAAATAGTTCCAGGGAAATGGGTGCAACGGCCGGTCTCTTTTCGGGGGTTCCTGTGCAAAAACCACACAATATATTTGTATGCTTCCAAGTAGCGAATGCTCCCCCCCAGTCGGAAGCTCCTATTTTCCGAACGTCGTTCGTATAGCTGGTCGGGAATTAGGACAGACAGTGGTTTCATCTTCACCAGTGTTCAAGCGAGTACATAGCCGGAAAGAGTTCCAGGCACTCGATGACCATGTACCACTGCCTGCATTTGGGAGAGAAAATGGCCGCCATCCATTCTGTCGACCACGTGCGTTTGGCTGCACGAAATGGCAGCCACCCAGGGGAGCATTCATTAATTGTTTCCTTTGTGGTTTCGCACTTGTTAACTGGTGTTCCACGTTCTAATGGGATGCTGGGGTGGTCATCGTTCGGTAGTTGAACTAAGTGGGTTTGAATGAAAAGAACAGACTACCAAGTTCTCAGAATTTTACATGTTGCTAGTGCTACATTGTCTGCTATAAAGAACATGTGATTGCCAACTCACAAATAGGTGTGTAAGTGTAAACTGAGAGTGAAAATATAAAATACTTCAATCTCGTATGAATATTCTAAATTACGTGTCTCCACGTAATTATGTATATGTACAAACATGGAGAAGAAAATAAATAAATAGTTGGATAAAGAATTCAATTGAGGTCTGAAATGCTATAGTGTTCCTTTAAAGGAAAACTATAGGCATCAAAACAACTTTAGCTTAATGAAGCAGTTTGGGTATATAGTTGATGTACCTGCAGTCTCACTGCTCAATTCTCTTGTAAGAAATTATGACCCTCTTACAAGGATATTCTTTTAGGGAATGTGTGACAAATAAAACACCAACACAAGTGTATAATAAAATGTATTGTAAATATTAATTTAAGAATACTGTTAGATTTTAAAAGCATATACACATTACACATTACACATTATATCCATTACATAATCAAAAGATGCATAATAAAAGTGCAATATTTAAACAATTAAATGGAGGTTTTTCCTTTGCGCCTTCATCTTGGGTAATCTGGGACAGCCTCTCTCAGTTCACCATGGCACCAGCTTGCTACGCTGTCCTCTCCAAAAGAGAAAAAGAGAGAGAGATACTCATTCTTGCTGTCATAAACTACAATTCCCAGAATCCCTTTTCCCTCCCAAAAGTGGTTTATCCCACCCTCTTTTTCCAGAGAGTTCTGTCTTTACACAAGTCTTTCCCTTTGATCTCTTCCCTCCAGCTATACTGTAACATTGTGAAAGAAGTGACCAGTTAGGTTAGGTTTCTGGGTAGATTGGATGGCTTGGGAAAACACACACTTCCATGGTTACACCTAGATGTTCATTACTCTGGTCTTCTGATAACGTGCATGGAAAACTGGTTGGCTGGAGAACTGCTGGAGGGATGTAAGCTTTTGTGTTAGTTGGGTGTTTTAAAATGCAACTGAAAGTTTTGATCCTTATTACACTGTTATCAAGTAAATGACACCAACTTGTGAAACCAGTCACATACACATAAAGTTATATACATACAATATTGCAGTTTTGTTTTAAATGGTTTTTATTGTTTTTGCAGTAAAATTGCATGCATAGTGTGAGAAGCGAGAATCAATATAAGGTTGCCTGCGCAGAGGCTCAGTGTTATATAAAATCATAGTTGCATATGTGCCTGCGCAGAGGCTGATTATAGTTGTACCACACAATATCAGTCATCTGTATGTTCCATGGTTGTAAAATCTAAACCGTTGACATGCGATGCTTATTGTCTTGTGTTGTCATTGTTAACCGAGCGCCTTCGCTGAAGCTTGCGCGATCTCTCATACGAGATGGGCGCATTATGTGAAGTGTGCAGATATGTGTGTTGCTGGTTGACAGGCAAAATGTCAGGAAAAACTAAAGCGCGGTTCCGTGCGTCTGGATAATTGCGCCTATGCAGCTATTTCGTCATCCGCTTAAGTTGTGCTTAGTGTGCCTGATGTGTTTAAGATATGCATCGTGTGCGCGGTATCAAATGGTCAGAGCAGTACATTAAATCGACAAATCCGCAGACAGTGGCTATGCGTCAATAATATCTAGCAACAATACATTGAGCTGTGTGTATTTTAGCAAGCATTTAATAGCCTGTATAAGGTGGCGTGCGCGGGGGACTGTATTTATTTATTCGAATTAGCCCGCGGATGGCGCGTCCCATAGAAGCCACAATAAGTGTCATATGAGTAACGGCAATGCAGGTGATTAAACCTAACTATTTTGCGCCCATGTAGCTCAGGTATTTAATCGAAGCAGGTCTTCGCTATGGGCTAGCTTTATACAGGTTATAGTGTAATAAACATTAGGCAATAACTGTGAACCAACGCCTCAGGGGGTAATGCAAAGCAGGAAACCATAGGAACAAGGTGTATCTTAAGCTGGGTCTATGCAAAAGAGTATATCTTATGTACAACGGCTTATGCACAAGGTAACAGTAGCGTGGTTAGCCCTAGCAAAACAGAGTTAGCCTTTTAGCATATAAGTCACTTTGCTGGAGGGGGCGTAATGGCGCCCGACACGGGGAAGCCTTCCGCTGTACCCCCCTTGCGACTCTCCGGTTCCCCCGGGTGTGACAGTCCCCTTCCTTTTCCATCCCAAGGTGTGCGTCCATGTCTTTAGGGGGCACCACCCCCACTGTGGGCACTCGGAGACCGGGGCTGTCCGGCGGCCTCCCCACCTTAGAGTCGGCCGGGCTCCCGCCTCCTGCACCTCCCCAGCTTCAGCAGGGCCTCCCTGGGGCCTCCGCCCTGTCTTGCCTCATCCTCCTCCGGCCACTTACATGTTGCCGGCGTGTGCCCTCCGGCCACCGGTCCGCCGGCGGGCCCGTGCTTCTCAGCTCCATCGGGCTCGCAGAGTTGGGGGCTGTTTCTTCCCGGACCACCACCCAATCCGGGTTTCAGAGCCGGCTCTCCATCGCCACGTCCGCCGCCCACGGGGGTCCAGTCGTGGGTCCGCCGTCCCGGGGGTCCCGGTATCTCAGCGCGGGGTCTCTGCTGCGTGTGTGAGTCGCCCCGTGATGCTGTGTGGGTACTGTGTACCCGTCGGCCATTGTAGCTCCGCATACAGGAGTGTCGTGTGCCGGGCGTGCCTCCTCCTCCAGCCTCCGAAGTTCAGACTTTGGGCCGGGATCACCCCCCCGGCCAGGTGGGGGGGAGCGGGGCCGGGCCAGGTCTCCCGCGCCTTACTTGCGCGCCGTGGGTCTGTCTCCTGTAGGCCTCAGGCCTCAGGTATCGTTTTGTGAGCCGGGTGGTCGATATGTGCTCTGGCGTTGCACTCCCCGGTTCCTCTCCGCCTGATTTCCTCTATGGATTCGGTTTTCAGCGGGTACCGTGCGTTTTTTTAAGTGTTTCGGGCTGTTTTAGGCTTTGCTTTGCCGGAGCCGGCGTGGGTTGCAGCCGTTCAGCTCGGCGGCCCGGCCCCGCCCCCCCAATATTGCAGTTTTGCACATCAATGTCTTACACTCTGACTGACATTTGCTAGTTACATCACCTTTGATTCGGTTTATGCTGCCATAATCACACCTCCCCTGACTGTGACTGACACAGCCTGCATTAAAAAAAGCTGTTTCATTTTTATTCAGATGTTATTTTGGTTTAAAAGTTTTTATCTTCTGCTCTGTAAATTAAAACAGGAGGCTCCTGCAGGGTCAAGAAGGTTATTAACAGAGCAGAAGATGGGAAACTCTAGATTATACAGACTGTGCAATAAAAGAACCCAGAATATCTATCTTTCAGGGAGTGTATAGAAATGCTGTGCAAGTCACATGCAGTGCAAGTCACTGCTAATGGCAGAGCATTGTGCAGTAAGACTACAGGGTAGACATGTGCAATTCATTTTGTTTTGAATGTAAATTCGGACGAATCTCGGATGCTTCTGAATGGCCGAAGTGACAAATTTTTCCGAAGTCCGAATTTCGCAAGTGCTGAACTGAATTGCCGAAGTGCCAAATTTCACAAGTGCCGAAGTGCTACGGATTTCTAAAAAAGTGGCAAAACAAGAGAGGGAGGGAAAATTACGTGAATGATGACAGGAATCTTGACCAATAAGCTAATTCCTGGCACTGGGAGCCCTATAGATGTGTAAGTGGTTGTGGTAGCATTCCTGGCACTGGGAGCCCTACAGATGTGTAAGTGGTTGTGGTGGCAGTCCGGGCACTGGTAGTCCTACAGATGTGTAAGTGGTTGTGGTGGCTAGGGGTAGGGTTAGGGGTAGTAGTAGGGTTAGGCAGCACCACAAATGTTCCGAATTCTGAATTGCCCAACTCCCGAATTGCCGAATACTGGAAATTGAGTCAAGGGATTATAAACCAGGAACACCGGAACAAGGAGTTGGTGCTTAGAAGAATCCAATAACTGAAAAATGCACCTAAGAATGCCAGAGGTTTATGAAATCTGATCGGAATGAAAATGACACTGCCATAGTGATCCATCCACTGTCATATGCCTGGGTGTTTGACAAAAATATATAATAGTTTCATACGTGTTTATTTAGTATATTTGCACATGTGCAGAAACAGTCATACATCTATTAATATGTCTTAATCCACTGAGATGGAATGGATTTGTGCATATTGTGAGTGATAGAGACAGACAATGCAGGTGATTAAAATAAACAGTCTGCTAAACTGTGACGGACAGTACTTGGTAGGAATGTGAGACAAATTAAAGACTTTTTCAGAATCTGTCTGGGAAATTAGATGGGTGAACAGAATTAACATCAGGTTGTGGAGCATAGCAATAATGTCAATAACGTCTATCTATAATTAGTATAATGCACACAACTAATGTCAATATTATGCCAAGGTCACGTTATGAAGTATCCACAAAAAAAAAAACCAAAAAAACCCTTGTTATAAATAAGCGGATGTCTCACACTCAAAAGGATTTCCAATATCACGTGAACTTCCAAAGATATATGTTGAGTTTTATTTAAAAACAATATATAAATAAGAGGCAGACAAATGACAAAAAAGGGTAGGGGTAGGGTTAGGGAGCCCTACAGATGTTCAGAATAGCCGAAGTTCCAAATTGCCAAAGTCAGAGATTGCTGAAGTCCCGAATTGCCGAAGTTCTGAATTTCAGAAGTGCTGAACCGAACCAAATTGCCGAAGTGCCGATTTGTCGAAGTGACGAATTATATCACTTACCCGAATTTCCAAACCGAACCAAACCGAATGTTTTGCCCATACACCTCCCTACTACAGGGGTATGATATATATAACAAAACTGCTTCATTAAATTAAAGTGATTTGGTACTTGTAGTATTCTTTTAAGGTGAGAGGATGTTTAACACTCTTTTCATCTCCATGTTTATAAACATTATTGTGTTTGCCTTTTAATAAAAGAGTCTAAAGTGACTGAGTTTTTTTTTTTTAAATAAATTCTTTATTTTGAGGATTTGATTTGTGGGCAAGGCGTACAGAAAAAAGAAGTTGGAAGTGAAAGTTTGTAATACGTATGTCACCTAACATATATGCAAATACAGAATTCTTAATAGAATCGTGGTACAACTTAGTAACAGTTTGTAAAGTAATACGGAGCGTAATTATAGTTTGCTGTACGGATTCGCTGTATTCCATCATTTCCATGGTCACTCATGAAATTAGTACCATTTCAGTGTTATATCGGTAATAGGGGGTACAGAATAAAGAAATGGGAGTGGGTGTAAAACTATAATTAACATACGTTTCGGATTGTTAACGAAACTGAACCTTCGTGTTAACATTACAAAATCACCATACTAGCCTTGTGAGCCTTCTTGATAGTTTTAAGGGGCCCTTTAGAGTCGGACTGTACCGGGGGCTTTAGAAAGGCCTGTGCTACTTTATTACCGTTTGTGTTGTTATTTCCTGTCCTGCTCAATGTGTGGTTGTAAGTAGTGATGTCGCGAACACAAAATTTTCGGTTTGCGAACGGCAAACGCGAACTTCCGCAAATGTTCGCGAACCGGCGAACCGGGCGAACCGCCATAGACTTCAATGGGCAGGCGAATTTTAAAACAAACAGGGACTCTTTCTGGCCACAATAGTGATGGAAAAGTTGTTTCAAGGGGACTAACACCTGGACTGTGGCATGCCGGAGGGGGATCCATGGCAAAACTCCCATGGAAAATTACACAGTTGATGCAGAGTCTGGTTTTAATCCATAAAGGGCAGAAATCACCTAACATTCCTAAATCACAATGAATATGGATTGACACCTGACATATGACATATTGACACCTTGACATATGGATTGACACCTGTCCTCAGAGCCCCTGATGCACACGGACACAGAGCAGAATTGGTCCCCCTACATAGGGTCACTTGGCATATGGATTGACACCTGTCCTAGAGCCCCTGATGCACACGGACACAGAGCAGAATAGAGACTGGTCCCCCTACATAGGGTCACTTGGCAGATATGGATTGACACCCGTCCTAAGGATCCCTGATACACACTGACACAGAGCAGAATAGGGACTGTTCCCCCTACATCGGGTCACTTGGCAGATATGGATTGACACCTTGTTACAAACTGCTATTTGTAACGGGCCCTTTAAATGGCAAATTGCCCTGCTTCCCTGGGTTGTGGAGAAGCCTATTTGCCAGCCTCCCCCCGCATGACTATGGCCCCTGGGAGATTGTGAAAATGTATGCACTTTTATTTGGTGTGTATGGCCCTTTCGTTTGCCGAACATGTGGCAGCGGCCATCTTTGACCATTCGACGAGGTCAGCGGTATGTGTAGCCAAATTCATGGAACTAAAATCGGCTACACATTTCCGCGAACACCGCTGAGCTCTACCTTCTCCCATACTGGTTTTACAGCTGCAGAGACTAAGTCCCATTCGGCGATGAGACTTAGTCTTTTTTTCAGCCATTTTTTTCAGCCTTATTTCAGCTGCAGAGACTAAGTCCCACTGCGGTGTCCCAATAGCTACAAATTTTTTGAACGCCTCAGACTCCACCAGATTGTATGGTAAAAGCTGGCGGGCTAATAGTTCAGACAAGCCAGGTGTCAGACGCCGGGCAAGGGGGTGACTTTCTGACGCTTGCAGACAACTAACTGCTATTCAATCTATAACAGTGAAAAAAGTTTTGAAGCCACAGTGCAGCACCAGAGGGCCTAAAAATTAGGCAGCGGCCAGAAAAAATTATGTTTGTTTCACAGGCAGAAAGTGCCCTAAAACATGGCGGCTTGAACCCTAGTTGGTGGCGGATAAGTAACGCAAGTCAACCGGGATTCAGAGCTAAAATACAGCAGCGTGTGGACCATTTTTAGCCCAAGGCAGCTCATCAGGCCTTTTTTACATAGGGTCACTTGGCAGATATGGATTGACACCTGTCCTAGGGATCCCTGATACACACTGACACAGAGCAGAATAGGGACTGTTCCTCCTACATAGGGTCACTTGGCAGATATGGACTGACACCTGTCCTCAGAGCCCATGATACACACTGACACAGAGCAGAATAGAGACTGTTCCCCCTACATAGGGTCACTTGGCAGATATGGATTGACACCTGTCCTATGGATCCCTGATACACACTGATACACACCTACTTGGATGGTATAGACATTTTTAGCTGCTCCTGGCCCGAACACCTGAACCACATAGGAGCCGTAATAGACCGGATTAGGGAGTCCGGACTGACCCTAAAGCCCAGTAAGTGCCATATAGGAACGTGTAAAAACCTCCCCAAGATGGTAGTATGGGCCCCAGAGTGTGAACAGGCCTTCCAACAGCTCAAGACGGCGCTCATTAAATCACCTGTACTTTCTGCTCCTGATCCAACTAAACACTTTCTCGTCCATACAGACGCTTCTATGCTTGGATTGGGAGCAGTATTGAGCCAAGTCGGAGCAGATGGTGGCTAGCAACCGGGGGCTTATCTAAGCCGTAAACTTTTGCACAGCGAAGTATATTCACTGCCATTGAAAAGGAGTGCATAGCGGTGGTGTGGGCCCTCAAAAAGCTGCAACCTACTTGTATGGACAACCGTTTACCTTACTCACAGATCACAACAAATTTGGGGCACTGGGCGTGCAATCTAATGTGCCACCAGATAGGAGTGGTGTGTTTAGTACTATTGTTATCAGTTTAATCACTGTTACGTCCCTATCCGTTGATGTGGAGCAAGACGCAGCAGCAGAAGAGGACTCAGCCGAGGAGGTTATGGAAGAGGATGGAGTAGGAGGAGTAGAGGAGGTGGCAGC